AAGTGCGAAGACTTCTCCCACCCTCGAGAGGAAGCCCCAGGTACCCCGCTCCTACGTCCATCTAGCGGGGGTTTTTTGAACGGTAAACTGCCCCTCACCGTGTTTTTTTTTACTGGAGTGACCTCTCCAGGGGCCGGTGTGGATAGAAGAAAAATGTCAGGGGGTGCCCAAGCAGCTGGCTTGAGACTGAGCTTTGTCTGGCCTCTACCCGTTGACCTTTCAGGCATGATTGGATCTCCGGCTGTGAAAAGCCATCCTGTGTAGCTCGCAGGGTCATGGAGGCACGCAAGCCATCACACCGCGTCAAGGNGGTGCAGTCTCGTCGTGATGGGCCCTTTATCCAACAACCGGTGCTCCTCAGCACTAAACGTCAAGTCGGTATCACTGAAAACAATGAACCATGCGAACGGACATTGCAAAATGAAGCGTCAGAACACGGAGTAGCACAGAGCCCCCGTCGCGTCCCAACAGAAAAGTACAGCACAATTGATGGGCAGTGCAAACACAGAGTACCTTGAGTCAATTTTATTTCATTGATTTCAGCTGATTATCCTTCGGACTTCACCTTCACGCACAACCCTCTTTTCATCGATTCGACCGTACACTTGGAAGCACTAAACTGGAGTTTCGCTCTTATTAGAGCTCATCAGTAGTGCATACTCACCGTCCCGTCCGGGACCCATCGCATGGAAGGCGAGTTCGTTACCACAGTGCCAACCAGCTCATACCATGGCTGAACCAAATTGTCAAATCATGCATGTTCAGGTGTCGTCTTCAGTGATCGTCAGTCAGTTCATTTGGCCCGACAGCAACGAAGGGAGACGGGTGACAATCTGTTAACTCCAATCAACAGCCTCCCGCTAAGTCAGAACTTCCATGCAGGTTACGGGTTGATTTGCCAACGAACCTACAAGGCCACCCACAGGCAAAGTTTGCTGCCGAATGCACTGCACATCCGATTGGATTCCACTTTTGATCTCCATGTCGCCGTGCCCCCAACTCCTGGCAACGTGCGCAAACAGATGGATCACACATGGAGGATGATTAGCTGAGGCCACTTTTGGCGATGACCGCAGCATGAAGCGCATCGGGACTAGTGCGTGATCAGACTCAACGCAGGTAGTCCAATATGATCTGCAATTGACAAAGTATTGAAATTCGGTTCTCGTAGACCGGGTGAACTGAATTCTATTTCGCCTGTTCGCCGAGCTTGGCAATTTGTTTGTAAACGTTTCATCACTAACCGAGGTGACATCATCAGTGCTTGTAAAGTGGCACGTTTGCAAACAAATTGCCAAGCTCGGCAACCAGGCGAAATAGAATGATCTGCAATTTTCTANTACCGAGCCGCATCATTGGTAGCTTACAGCTATGTGGTCAATTTGGATCAGCTGACCTGTTGAACACTGTTGCCGTCCAACGAGAGGTGTCGAAAGTTGGTGCTAGATAAGAAAAACCGGTGATCTGAGCAGAACTGAAACAGTCGATCACTATTGCATGTTCGCTGGGCGGGAAAACGAAGCACACACACCCCGCGTCCTAGACAGGCTTCGGATGCACTGTTTTCCAAACAACGCGTTTAAATAACCTGCCGGCACGGTAACATCAGAGTTGCGGCTAGGCGAGTTTGTCGGCAAATTCGTCCTTTTGTGAATTAGGACCACAGATGGTTGATGCATATGCAAAATGATGAACAAGCACCTCTTGGTGTTTCTGAACTTCCAAACACCAATCGAATCCTGGAACCCCATTGAACACAAACGATTATTGACGGGTATCCAATCTATCAGTGAGGCCCCGAATTTACCGCTTAGTACGACTTCTACAGCTCGCTGACCCAACGAGTGGGTTTCAGCGTGTCTTGATGATGGAAATAAATACTTCGAGGAAAGACTCAATACGCTCAGGTGGCTTATGCTACTATGATCTGAATTCGTGTTTAAGACACACAACAGACATCAACATCCAAAGAGTTGATTGTAAGCGCAAGACACGCCTGTCGACCAACAGCATCAAAGTCTCCACATCTTATTTAGGGGAACAGGAAGAATGGTATGAGTTAAATTATTGTGTCATGATAACTGTTGCGTACATATCACGATAGCTGCTTCTTTAACATCCTATATTTAGCCCGTGCTCAAGCTCCGAAAACAAGCTTGTTTGCTACTGTCTTTGTTCTGATATCAAGTAATACATGTGTACTTGAAATGCACTGGTTCAAGGGAAGTGTTTCTATAATGCCAACCATGTGCCAATTTCACGATCAACTGAGTAAAACGGAAACAATAACGATGTACAACAAACGAATTTATATGTACAGTGAATTCAAATGATGCCACGATCATATCAAGGTGCAATACAAAAAATCCAATTAGCTGATCTCTGATTATGTACAAATGAATAGCCGGTGTTGAACGACATTTAATCATCGTCTGAATTGGCCCTTGCACTTTCATCTTCACCGCCGTCTTCATCGTCGAAGTCATAGTCTCCATACCCATCCGTATCGTCTCCGTCTTCACCCTAAAAATTAGATCGAGAAAAATGTTTGTGGTTTCCTGGATCAAAATACCCCGGGTTGTTTTATTTGTCTGCCAGGAGATGGTGATTCCCTTGAGGCAACAAAAACAAACTACCACTGGAAGGTATTCATTTCCGATCCGGAAAATATATCATTGAGAACGAAACGAACAAGAGAAAGCAGGAATTGGAATTTTAACTAGAACAAACCAAGTAAAACAATAGTCTTATGGAGTTACCAAAACTTCCGGGACGCTGTGAGAAGTGAGATGCAAAAAGCGTACATTGATTTGTAGGTTGCAAACTGAATAATCAGTAATATCACATTTACATGCCTATTTTCAAAACATTTGAATAGGCACAAAATAAGTGGTATTCTGGTGACTGGATGCCACCTCCACAGATTGAATCATGCATTCCGGAAAACAAATTTGATACACTTATACAACTTTTACTCGGTGCTTCGTTATTACTCACATCTTGTAGATAAGTGAGCTTATTTAAATCTGATGGAAATCTTTATGGTGACCGATAAGGAGCATTGAACAGTTGTTTCGTCCGGTTTGGGAATTCAACAGTGCGTGCTTTTTGTGTCCCTATCAAGACTTCAAGCGTGAGTTTGTTATTTTGAGCGTAGTGGCAAGCACGCATGTAAAATTACCAAACTGGTGATGCAGTGGTTTATTCGCTGTCATCGGTGTGCTTGGGACCATGTGATCCGAGGTTCGAGTTCCGATACCAACACCCAACTTTGGTGGTAGACAGCTTTGCTGGTGCGGTTATATACCACGCCTTATGTGGTTCGCCACTCCAAGTCCCGAGGCTTAGGTTGCCGGATACCATCACGGAACAGCAGGTCTTCGTGACCATGAGGTTCCACCCCGTCTGCTGTATATCACACACCAATGCGCAATAAAAAAACGTTTGTGATGAAGAAGCACAATCAATTCAAGCCTAGGATCATGTACAATTAAGGCACAAGAGCCAGTTAACTGAAAATCTAAAATCTCTGATGGCTGGTTTGTCATGTAGTTCCATAATTCACTTACATCCTCATACTCTTCATACTTGGACTGGGAAACATCTGAAACAGTTGGATTTGCATCAAATCGTATACTGGGTTTTGTCGAAATTGAAGCCGGATGATTGACAAGCGTTTTGAGAACTCCGCCGCCAGTGGGGTTCGCATTTGGCACACTAGCAGAACCAGCAGCTGCGGTTACTGCACCAGAATTTGGCCGCACTTGGCGCTTGAAGAAGACACCATCGTTTTTCACATCAGCAGAAGAGGGAGGATTAAGCGATGCGGGGCGTTCGGACTCGGGTTTATCTCGTTTCGATTCCGCTGGGTCGGCAATATCCAAGAATTCTTTTAGTCGAGGACGCTGCAAACAATGGGGGCGACGGTACGAGAATTATTGTCAAACTGACAGGTGTGTACAATTTTACGATACGTCTGTCTCAAAGCTTGTGACATTATCTTGTGGTAGAAACTGAAATATTCATATTCTGCGAACTATAATAATCGGAATACGGTAGCGCTGTCAAACAGACACGGATCTGCAGAATGAGAAAACCGGAAGCTAGATAGTTATTAACCTCGCACACAGTGATGGTCAATATACGGCGAAATGTAATGGACCGGAAACTTGTTCACACCATGGGGATTGGGGATCGAAAATAAGCAATTAAACAAAAGTGAATGTCTCAGCCGTATTCCACGTATCACAAGCAACCCAACTGGTAGTGCAGTTCAGATTACCCTGTAAGATGAAAGATCCAGAATCGGATATATTTTGGTTTTTTCATTGGAGCTTTATGAACGGGTGCTGCTAAGGAGTATAATCACTAAGCCGATACATACTTCGGGATCTCAACCAAATCCCTTAGTTCTAACAGGATCCCGACAGCACGATAGTGGAAAAAGCAAAGCGTAGGCCCATTTACTTAGATCAATCACATTTTGGAGACTCATAAGCGAACTCGAGTCAATACATAGTGTGCAGCAAACGGAAAGATTTCAAGGAAACAGGGCTCGAACCGAAGCAACCCCGCGTAACAGGTGCATTGTCGTAGCATCAAAATTCTACACAATCGAAACGCTACTGTTTCAGAGTGACCGTATATTGCTCGANTTGCTCGACAGCTGGTTGTTAACCAGTGCATCTGCTTAGATCAGTTTCAATCTCCGCCTCGGAATCACTTTCAGATCTACACGAAGAATTTTTGGTAACACGAGCATTATTCAATGTAAAAAAAAATCAACAACAAAATAAAATCTCTCCTACAAACAAAAGTCAAGTTACCTTTGCATTTGAAACTTCTTGCTCTTCAGAAACTTCCTCAAAGTTTTGTTTTCTGCGTCCCTTATCCACCTGAAAAATGAGTGCAAAAGGAGCAACTTACCACTGGTGTTTGATTACCGGATGGTGCTTCAGTGGTGGAAACGGGATCCTCAGATTTTTGCCCTGGTTCAGTTGGCTCCCCTTCACTTAAACCAGCTTCTTGGAAGGCCTTAGATTTTACTTTTTGTTTTATTTGTGACACAGTCTTTGTTTCAATGGCCTCAGCGATTTTCCCCAGATCATTACCAAAGCGGGCAACGGCTTCTTTGAGCTGTTCGATCTCTGTCTCTGACCATTTCACATTTTCTTTTTGTTCCGNGAATCCGCCTGTTGCATTTGAGCTAGTTTTAAATCAATGGTTAATTGTGCAAGACGTCCGAAGGCCACTGACGCCTGTTGAAAAATCTCAGCAACTCTTGAAGAATTGGCCATGTTAAAACCTATAACAGAAAGCAGTTTCTAGTTTACCAGCAGATTGGTTGCTTGAAAAGCTTTTCGACAAGGAAACAATAAACAACCTGTCTACTCGTGCAAAAAGCAAAAGGAACGAAAGTTTGGAACCGAAAAAGTTTTTATAGCACTTTAATCGATTTAAAATGTTTCTTCAATCATTAGGTCAATGATATGCGTTTCGGATTGCCTGGTGCACTTAAGTGTGCAAGAGGCAATCTAATTCAGTTTCAGTTTGAACAACCATTAACCACGCATCTTCGAGCCCCGGTTTTGGTTGCTGTCTTTTGGCTGCCCATTTGGATGAAGGATAGGAGAAGAAAGGAAAGTTGAAAGTGGAGTCGAAAAGAAAATGGAGAA